TCCGTTTACAGTTATGATTCAGAAAGCTATTTGTCAGCAGCTGAATCAGTGGAGGAAACTCAGCATCCTCCTCAACACCCAGAAATGTGCAGCTCGTTATCTTTGACATCCGGCTGCCAAAAAAAAGATGCTGACTCTACACAGGACGGACAAATGCATTCTTCTTTTTCCACCAATGTGTCAGCTGCCAGCTGTAAAGTTTATGAAGGTACCGGCGCTGTGCCTTCCCCGATGCATCCATCTGCCAACCAAAGAAATACAAGCATGCCAGATCATATCCCCCCATGTGAAAATGAAACACACTGCTTGATACTCTTGGACACACCTGGAGCCCAAAGACATAAAATCAATCTTTCAGTACCTGGTTTCTCTAAGGAAGAACAGCCCTCCCCTCTCTGTGTTCCTGATGTAACAGTAAAACCTTGCTCTGAGGAAGACTGCCCAGAAACATATGCCAAAGCTGAGGGTCACAGTCGACCCATGTACGCCATCTCTGCTTTTTGGGATGAAATGGAAAAATTGACAATAAATGACATTTTGCAGCTCAGAATGAATAGAGGCTCATCACCTATAGAAACAGGAGAAGCCACGACACCAAATGTAGATGAATCCCCAACAAATCATGACCCTCTGGTTGACACTGTGGAGTATAATTTGTCTTGCAGCACTCCCATGGATATTTCAGACACAGCAGACTCGGACTATTTTACGCAGGCTGACGAATCTAAGCCAGACCAATCAAGCTGTGAGTTTTCCACCTCAGATTTTGAAGAGGAGTACTGGCAGTTTGTTGGCCCCAGCAGGAACCCCAGCCCTGACCCTCACAGAAAAAACAAGCACAGCAGGAGTGACTCTCCATTCTTCTCAAACGATGAGTCCACATGCTCCGAAGGCAGAGAGACGCCTGTGCCTTTAGAGGACTTTGCAGGGCAGTGTTTTGACAGCCAGAAGCCCCACACTTTGACCTCAAGCACACTTGCATTGCCTAGACAGTTAACCAAAAGTAAAAGTATGCAGAATATACAAACTCTCAACAGAGAGAATGCATCTTTGCCTGCTTTACTTGGTAGTGATGAAAGTAGTCTGTTTTTTAGCAGATGTCAGTCTTTGGCAGAAAACACTGCTTTTAAACTAAGTGACAGCCTGGGAACACAAATTCCTCTGTCTTTTCTGTCCAGCACAGACTTTCTTGATTACCAAATATCTTACCCAGAGGTGTTTGAATACTTTTTCACAGAGGATAAAGTAAACTCTGACTCCAGGCACTTCACTGTTTATGATCCAAAAGACATCTCCATGCCTCCTGTCTTTGACTATGCTCTTTGTTCATGTAGAAATGAAATGTCTTTCTCTCCTCTTCACTGCAACGAGGAGAAACCCATCCCCATTTTCTCTTGTTCTCATCCTACCGTCAGAGAACTCACACTGCACAAGGTGGGCAGTGGGTTTGCACTCAATGTTTTCTTGAGTGCAAACTCTGATGAAGTGGATGACATCTCTCCCCTGAGAATTGTGTCTCATTCTTTCATTCAGGCCCACCAACATGGATCCACAGTAGAAGCAGCCGTGGGTGGATCTGCCAGCTGGAAAAGTTTACTGCCGATAAGAAAAATTCACTTCCATGATAAAGGGAGCATATGGTGCAGAGGATCTGGTGACTGGGTGTTTCCGGTTGACTTCGAGAAGATACCCAGCAGGAGAGAAGATCCAGGGGCACCGGTGCTGAGTGTGGGAAGGGTCTCCCCGGCTTCCTCGCAGCTGTTTAGAGAGCTAGAAGAGCAGCATTTCATTTTGGAAACTATACAGACAACAAGTAAACATGAGCTTACGTAAAATCAGGAGACATAAATGTAAAAATGCAACATATTTAATTTCACTTTTTGCCCTTACAGGACACCAGGGCATCTTCTCCACACTGAAGCAGTCAGACATGTGTTTAGTCTGCATTGCCTTTGCCTCCTGGGTACTAAGATCCTCTGATCCAGAGGCTGCTGATGCCTGGAAAGCAGGTATGATCATTTCTGAATTTATGTTCGTCTATCAGTCATAGTCAGTCGTGATGTTTTTTCCATTAATTTGCTATGTTTCCTGATAAAATTTAGGGTAACAATTTATGATTGGGCACCCTTTTCAGTAGTTAATTTTGAAAGTACTGAATAGGCTAATTTTAAGTGATTAGTAATTTTTTGGTATTTTTGTAGAAAAATAAATTATTTTCCCATCGCCTGTGCCCCAAGAGTACACCTTACTCTTGGGGCACAGGCGATGTTATGGAGAGGCTCAACTCTAAGGTACTATATAGATAAGAGTCAAAGGAGCTTGCAAAGAAAAGCGTCTGGACTTCTTTAAGTTACTTGAAGACGTTTCACCTCTCATCCGAGAAGCTTCTTCAGTTCTAAGGTCAAATGGTGGAGAGTCCCAGATATAAACCTAGTGGGAGTTTCCCCCCACAGAGGGACAAAAGGACCCCCTGATGATCCTCTAATCGCCTGAGCCATATATAGATAAGAAGACACTGTACACTCATTTTGATAGTTATGTTTGAATTGTGATTATAAAAAATCATGTTTTTATTTTTTTTATACAAGTTGGTAAGAAAGAACAGACCTTATTATATTTATATTGGTAAAATAAAAGGCGCAAGATTGATCCACTTCATAATATGGCCCGTGCCCTAAAAAGTACTTATGATGTAAGATGGGGAAATATGGTTTGTTTCAAAAATTACAATTAAATTGCACACTACTAAAAATTACTTATGCAGTACTTTAAATCACTTATACATATCACAAATTGTGTCTCTTTTCCTGTAACATTGTTGAAAGTGAGGCAAAGTTAATCAACTTCATAATATGACCCGCGCCCCAAAAAGTACAGTGTACTTACAACGTAAAGGGAACGTATGGGGAGATATCGTTTTGTACTTAAAATTTATTATGAAGTACTTTAAATTACTTATAGTATAATGTGTGTCTCCTTTTCTGTAAGCTACCCAAAATTTAAGCAATACATAAAAGTACCTAGGCATTACTTACATTTATTTACAATATAATTATTAGTTTTTCCCTGTAACATACCTGAAGTTATGCAATACTTACAATTACTCTTGAACTATAAATTACTTACGTTATTTACAGTCTAATTATTTATTTTTTTCCTTTAAACACTTGACTTGTACCCCCTTATTCTAGTGTACCTACTTTTAAGTATTTTTAGGCAAATTTAATCACATTCGATTTTCAAATCAAAGACACTGAAATTCCATTTAGTTACTAGAGAATTGCATCTTTAGTTGTAGGCTTTATTATGAAGATTTGCCGATTTTAGTAAGGAAAATAACTTTTGCCTTAAAACATTAAACATTTTCCCTGTCACATGTTTGTGTACTAGGTGATCAAACATGAAACGTTGAAATTCAAAATAACCATGGAAATCCTTTTCAGCTCTACTAGCAAATCTGAGTGCACTATCAGCTATCCGGTACCTGCGGCAGTATGTGAAGAAGAGGAATCCTCAACCTGAATTCTGATATGTACATACAAAACAAACTACTTCCAGCCATTCTCACTTGGGTCCATGGATAAAAAGAAATCCACCTGTATTTATATTTTGCAAAATGTCTACAGTTAAAGTGCATACACAAAGTTTAAAGCTGCAGCCCGGCATGAATTGAGAGAAATGAAAGTTGTTTCCAGCCTCAGTTGTTCTGGTGCAAGTTTTAGGTCAAGTATGGACAGTATGTGACAAAGATATTCAGGATTTATAGCTTCAGTGTGAAAGAACAACAATGCAGTTTAGAGCCACAAAGCAGAGATTTTACAGCGATATCAGGCATTTTAACGTTTTATTAACTTCAGTGTGTCACTTCTGGGTAGGCCTGTGTTGATACAAGGACCATAGCTAGACAATTTAGATTTGGTCACCACCTTCCACTTTGAATGTCTTGTTGTGCTAAAACACACAGCTGCATAATGTCAGAGCAGCTTAATTTCGACCAGATGGAGAGTGTAAGTGGTTGTCTGTGTGGAGGAAGAAAGGTTTTGCTGTAGATGTCTCATATGTATTTTGCTGTATGTTGGAGGGAAAGGTTAAAGAGGTGACAGAAAAGCTTTGAATACAAACGGTGGCTCGCAAATGTCTTTGTTTGAGAGAATCTTAAGACAAAGTCACGTCTGTGTGATTTAAGAGGTGTTTAGAGGGGCTCTGGCATTTTTCAAACATTTTCTACAAGATGAAATTATTCAGATTCAGCTGAATAAGGTTAACTCGGCTTATTATTGTATAAAGATGTGGAAAATCCTGGGTAAATTAAAATAAATATACTGGTTTAGTGTCAAATTTGTTTGTTTTCTTCTTGGTTCCGTTATCAGGTAGGGGGGCACAGAGGCACAAGTGGGGAGATGTTGGTTTAAAATTATTAAAAAGTCAGCGCAAGATCTCCTATGATGATGTCACATCCTGCGGGTGTACAAATTTCAAGCTAAACAAATTTCTCATTAGTACCTTCAACAAAACACAAAAGACAACAATTTATATGTTTAGTTGGTATTAGTGTCTCAAATTTATCTTGTTGCTCTTGTGAAATGACAATTTTGTTCAAAGATTTTCATGTAAATGGTTGTTGTCAAAACACTTCATGTGATTTGCTTTTAGTGCCACAAACGATTAAATGCAATTAAATCAAGAATGAGAGCCTTTTCCTCTGTCTGAACACAAGCTGAACTTCATAACCTCCAGAAATGTAAAATTAGCTGCAGAATGGTTGTACTAAGACATTTTCACACATGCACATCAGCCCTGGTGGAGCTGTATGCGAGATTGGCAATTTTGTGACACACCGGATTGGCTCTAGATGGATTATAACGTGCCAACTCCCTAGAACGTGTCTGAGGGAACACAGTAAGAGAATTAACTGCCTTAACCAAAGTGAGTATTTCAACTACACTTTTAGTGTCTCTTTGGGAAAAAGGAAGAGCAGGAAGTGCAAATAGGACATGGTGTCAATTCAGAAATATTTATTGAAATAAATATGTCATGGATACACTTTCATATCATGTCACATAAATACTGAATTTGGGCAGTTCTTTTTAAAAATGTTCAAGCTGAAGTTTCGATCCAATTAAGTTGTTCTCATTAAAACTGTAAATACGCTTTCCTAATAAAATCAATTAAAACACTGTCTGTAAAGACAGATCATGGTCCGATTCTAGTCACTGCAACTAATAATACTATATACTGTTTTTAGCTTATGACTTACTTTTGTGCTGGATCAAGGGTCGAGTGTTCACAACTACTGTTATATCAACTCGCTCATATAGGTACAATCTCAAAAATGAATGAATAAAAGCTTCGGTTATAGTGTGAAAAGATATCTTGATATATAAAACTTTCGGATTTAAACAAATATTTAGCAGATTTAGGAGTACATACAACCTCTACTATGCTTTCAAAGGCTAAACACCACAATGCAACTCGCTACTCTAGTTTGGTGAAAACTGAAGACTGAGTCATGCTAGGTTATTACAATCATCCACACATCGATTTAAATGTCATTCTGTACAAGGAAATCTTTTAGAAATCATTACAGAGATAGTTATAGTTGACACCAAAGTCAGTCTGTTTTCATATCCTTTATAAGAGCTGAATTTTAGCTCATTTTTAAGTGACTGCATAACAAACAAGTTTTTTAGAGTCACTTTAAATCTCACATAAGAGTCAGAATAATAATATTATTATTAATAATGCTATTATTATCAGTGTTGAATATTATAATAATAAAGTAGTATAAATTTTCTAGTGATATGAAAATCTCAGACGGACTTTGACAGTCGCATTAAGTGCTGAACAAGGAATGCACATAAAGATCCACAAATATTTTTCTAAAATATATTAAAACAAACAAAAATGACACAAAATATTCTCTTACAGTTTCAAAAGTACACAGTATTGGGTAAAAGTTTAGAGTTTCAGGGCATGCACCTCCTTGGACTCAAGATGGCTTGTCACCTTCTTTCTTCAGACGGCTTTTGACAAACAGAAAAAGAGTTAGATGGTGCAATGACGTGTAACAATTGACATGAGTTTCCCTGAACAGTGTTGACTGCATGTTGGACATTTTGGCAAATGATGTAAAAGTATCACTGAAAAGTACAATTTCAATTTGTACCTTGCGCAGTTAAATGGTCAAACATGAATTCAGATAGAGAATTTTATTATTCAAATTACTAAAGTGACCGAATAGAGAGAGCTCACCTGTAATAATCCTCCTGACCTGGTAGAGGGCCTCCATGCAGGTGATGCCCGTGCAGCCACTGCTGCTCCATTGCCATCCTCTGCAGCTCTGCAGACTGAGCATGCATGGCCTGAAGCTGATGAGCTGCAGACATCGGAGGAATTGGGCCCTGCAGCTCTCGTGGATACGCTGCTCCTTTTCAAATTTAAACAAGGTCACAGTGAACCAGTGGAATTTAGAAATGAGTCAAGATGTGGTCTGTGACTAAGTACATTAAAGACTACAAACCAAATAGTGGGTGGCGCAGCATCTCATGATCATGAGGAAGATCGCTAAGTAAAGGGTTGGGGATTGGGCCTGCAGGGAAAGGGAATCTGGCCAAACGTGGTCCTGTTGCCAGAGGATCCACAAGTGGATGAGGGCTTGAACCTGTTTGAAGAAAAAAGAAAGACCTATTGTAAAAAGCTAAAGTAATATTAAGACCTTGATATGTTGAATACTGCTGAATAATTAACTTCACCTTGACCGAGGGGGTCCTGTTGGTGCAGGTGGAGGTGGGAGTGAATGTGAGAGTGTTGGTGATGATGGGGTGTAACATTAAGCATCTGCAGCCTGGCAGCAGGATCAGTCGCCACTGAAGCCATCCTCTCAGCGTGAAGCCGCTCTGCAGTGAGTCGCTCAGCGTAAGTCAGCTCCGGGCGCAGCTGAGGTGCCGCTAACACCATTCTTTCACGCTCTAGGTGGTTCAGCCCAGGATGGAACGGCGCAAAGGGATGTGGGGGCCCAGGTATGTGAGGAAGACCTAATGGCCCATGTCTTGCAAAGTGCTCCATAGGGTTTGCAGCAGGGTGCAAGGTTTCCAGGTCTGGGGGTTTGACCTCAAAGCCAGGCTTCATCCTCTCGCGTAACTCCCTCTCTCTGAGGTTCCTCAGCTCACGCTCTCTGAGGCTAGGCTCAGCACTGTACAGGCCAGGCATGTGATAGGCCAGTAAAGGGTCACCAGGGGTCAGGGACACATAGAAAGGATGGTTGCGGTTGGTGGGAGACATGACATGGGGTCGGGCGTATTCGCTTAGGGTGCGCAGGGCAGGTGTGTCTGGGCCAATGTAGGGAGGAACGGCTGCTACTGTGGTGGGCGGCTGCTCAAATGAGGGGCGTCCGTGGCCTTGAGCCACCATTTGAGCTTCACTCATACGACTGTCATGAGAGGAGCTGGATGCTCTCTGTAAGCAAATGAGAGATAACTGTTGACATGTTTTATGTAACAAAAAGGGGGAAAATGAAATTAAAAGAATATTGCACTTACAGCACTTCTGTCGGCCTCCCTTTCTCGCTCTCTCTCTCTGTCCTTCTCCCTTTCCCGTTCTTGTCGAGCACTGAGCTCAGCTTCTCTCCTGGCCTTTTCCACAGCTTCCTCTCTTTTCTTGGCCAGCTTGGAGGATGGCAGTGGAGTAAAGAAAAGGTCTGTCCTGGCACACGAGTTGTAGCCACGATCCAAGTGCTTGATAAACCTGAAATATTTAACAGATATGCATTTATGAGCACTGAGTATCAGCTTCATATGCACAAAACTGCATTACGAATCATTCAAAAAGTTTAGCTTTTATATTATAGACGCAAAGTCTAATGAAATTTAAACAACACTTTCATTTAATGTTGATTTTCTTGCAAAAATATCTATTTTTAGTTTGTTCTTTAAATGAAGCATTGAGATTTTTCTTCACTTAACCTGAAACTCATTTATGTGTGTTTATTAAATTACTCTCAGCTATTAAGAAACTTTATCAAGAACCAGTATTACAACATTGTTTATGCTCATTGTTTGATTGCCTTACGTCCATCACTTATCTGGAAATGAAAATAAAAGTAAACGTTTTGATTTTGATCTAAGTCTCCCAATACAAAGAGCTTCAGACAGACTTCAGGCAGATTTAAAAGCCTGGTGAAACATTTGAAGGGCATTTTGGATCAACTTAAGTTCTAGTCGAAGAATGAATCATTTTGTGTGAACCAGACTAGCTGAGGGGTTGGTGTGAGTTTATTATCCTGCCAATTATTGTGTTTTCAATTTTTTTGTCACGCTTTACAACAAATTAATAATATCAAAATCTAAATTTTGACCGGAGACAAACAGAAATACATCCAGTCAATTTGGTGGAAAAGCAAAATGTGCTGCAAACTGGCCCACGGTTAAAGCAGCTACTGTAACAGTAGTTCCCATGACTACTTGTATATGAAAAGTGTGACTTGTATTGATACATAAAATTACCACCACAGTCTACAGTCCATTTCAGCTGCATTGTTCAGCTCTTTGACTCTGCTCCAATACTTTTACTCTTTTAGGTGTCATTGCTCTCACACATCTGTTTGTTTAAAGCTTCAAGAATTGGTGTAAAGAACAATAAAATATAAAACTTAAGAAAAAATACTGCCATCTTGAGATCACAGAGACTTACATCACACAGACTCTCACACACCCTTTGCACTGGACTTTGATTTTTATCTCAGCTACGCTCCTGCATAGTTTAACAAGTGCATCATACTGAGTTGTGATGCTATCTGCTGACACAAACACACTGAAAAGATGAAAACAATACCAGCTATTGTATTGTGGCTGGTAAAAATTCACTGTTCACTGATTGCCCAGGACAAAAAATATCAGACGAGCAAGTTCAGAGAGGAGATAATGAGCCTAGTGGAGAATTTCTCAGCTGAGTAAAGATGAGATATACTTTATTGTTCTCAGACATTTCTCAGACAGAAGTGCTGAACGCGAAAGGGAAACATATTTTTCTCACAGGTTAAAACATCTTTTAAAAGGAGAAAAAATGCTGGACTGACATTTCTCAGGTGATTTTACTGCACCTGTCAAGTAAAACCTGGATTGTTTTTTGCAACAAACAAACAAACAAACAAAAACATACCGTGCAGACTGACTGGCATGACTTGCCATGTTGACAATGGTTGGCTCTGGTGAGGGGCTTCGAGGTGGAGACGGTGGGCTCTCAGCCTCCTCCATCTCATCAAGAGGCTCCTCTTTAACCTGAACTTGCGAACTTCCTGCAGCGCTGCCAGACGAAGGTCTCAGAGGAAGAGATTGGAATGATGGCTGGAGGCTCGGTACAGGGCCAATAGCAGCGGGTGTTACAGAGGTGAGGGGGTGTGAGGCTGCAGCAGGTGAGTAAGAGGAAGTCATGTTTTTTCCAGAGTTTGTCTGCACCTGAGAGATCACTGGAAGCTGGCCTGGAAGTGAATGCACAGGCAAAGGTTGTGGCATAAGCTGAAGAGGTGGAGGGGGAGCACCTGGAGGATGCTGGTTGGGCAAGGAATTGAGAGGCTTTAGAGCAGGAGGCGGCGGAAGATTAGAGGGCATCTGGGGGAAAGGTGTAGCAGACTGATGGGGAAGCTGTTTGTGTGAAGGTGGAATAGGAGTAGTGGGAGGAGGCTTGACTTGAGGAGCAGGAAGAGGAGGCTGGTGGAGCTGACCATCCCTAAAGAAGGATGGGGGTCGTTGGGGGGGCAAAGGTGATGGACCATGCAGCTGCAAAGGCTGCGCAGAGTTGAGAGTGGATGGGATCTGAAATGCTGGAGGAACAGGAGACTCCTGTTCCAATGATGATGGCAGAGCAGGTGGACCGGAAATACAGTGAGGGGTGGGCTGTGCACGGCTATTTGTGCCCACTGTGGCAGCTGACTGGCCAGTGGCGGCCTGAGGGGGATCTGGAGAGGGAGGAGGGGGGCTCTGAGCTGGGTCTGCAGAGGGTATGCTTTGCAGTAGCTGGGGAGTGATAGGCTGTGAGGAGAGGGCTTGGGGGACCGGTGTGTCAGCTAACACAGCAGTGGGGGCAACCGGCTCTGATGGAACACCGTTGGGCTGGGCAGATGAGTCAGAATCACTCTCGTTGCCCTGCTGAGGGCTGGGAATGCTAGGAGAAGAGCTTCGGTTGTCTTGATCGATGTCTTTGGTGTCACTGCTGCCATCGTCCTGAGCACTGCG